TCAGTCCCTTTATGTCCTTATTTTGCCTAATTTGTAACATCAATGTCTCTATTGAGAGGATGAATAACAGGGAGGATAGAGGGCATCCCTGTCTTACCCCTTTGGTTATGTTAAAATCTTCTGTTGCTTCCCCATTTGGTATTATTTTTGTCCTCTGACTCAAATATATTGCTCTGATCATCCCGATAAATTTCTCTCTGAAGTTCATTACTGCTAATTGATTTATAAGAAAATCCCAATTCAAGTTATCAAATGCTTTTTGTGCATCAATAAATATCAATGCTGCTTGTTTTTCTGAATGTATCTCGTCGTATTCTAATATGTCCATTATTGTTCGTATATTGTTTTTTATGTGACTGTTGGGTAAAAATCCATTTTGGCCTGGGTGTATGATTCCGTTTAATATATTTTTAATTCTTTCCGTCATTATTCTCATAAATATTTTATAAACAGTATTTAGCAACGAGATTGGCCTATAATTATGGATCTTTTGTTTTTCAGTGTTGTCTTTGGGAATTAGAGTTATTAGTGCCTCCATCCAGGATTTTGGTCTTAGCTCGTTCTAATACTTCATTATACATTTCTAATAATATGTTCTCTAATGATTTTTGCAATTCTTTATAAAATTCTGCTGGAATTCCATCTGGGCCCTGAGTTTTGTTATTTTTTTGTTTTTGGATTGCCCTTTTTAATTCTAGCCTCTTTATTTTATCATTTAATGTTTCTTTTGTTGTTTCTGGTAGGGTTGGAAGATTCCTCCTCTGAAGATATCTTTTAATATTCTCTTCTATTTCCTCTTGGCAGTACAATGCTTGGAAGTATCTTACTGCTATACTTTTTTTTTCTTCTTTTTGGTCGTGTATCACTCCTTCTTCATCCTCTAGTTGCTGTATTAATTTCTTTTCTTTCTCTCTTTTTAGTTTATAGGCTAGTCATCTCTCTGGTTTATTGGCATTTTCAAAATAATTTTGCCTACTTGATCTAATTTTCTGGGCCACTTGTTCTTGTGTAATTAAGTTTAATCTATATTTAATTATTTCTTTTTCTTCTTTGGCTTCTTTGTTTTGAGGTTCTTTCTGGAGTTTATATTCTAATTTCCCCAGTTTCTCCTGGAGCTCTGTATATCATTTCTTTTTATCTTTGTTTCTTCTTATTGTATATGCTATCGTAATGCCTTGCACATAGGCTTTACTTGCATCCCATAGATTTTGAATGGTTGTCTGTCATTCCAGTTTTCCCTTTAGGAAAAATGCTAATTCTTTTTCCACATACTGTACATAGTTCTTTTCTTTTACAACCCTCTGATTCATGGTCCATTTCTTTTTCCTTTTTGCTTCTCCTTTCCACTTGATTGTTAATGAGTTATTATTACATCTATAATCTAATTTGCATAAATCTGTAAAAAAGCAAGTCTTTTCCTCCAGAGCTTTCAATAAATTGTGCTTCAACATAATGCATCCTAGTATTCAGTTCAAACAGAGTCTGAGAAAATTATCTGTCACTATCAAAGATCTCTTTAGAAGAAAAGTAAAAAAAATAAAGGAGTTCCTGCGGATTTTACTTCACTAGTCATTGCTGACCATGGGGATGTGTGTGTGTGCTCATTTTTGTTTCAAGGCCATTGAGACAGCACTGTCCAAAGACTTTTCAATGGTCATGTGGCCAGCATGATGTCATGGAGTGCTGTAAACTTCCCACCAAAGTGGTACCTATTTATCTACTCGTATTTGCATGATTTCGAACTGCTAGGTTGGTAGGACTTCCAGCCCACAAACCAAGCATCTTAACTGCTGAACCACTATGCTGCTCCTTTCTTCCCCTTTCGAAGAAAAGCGGGATATAAATGTAACTGTTACAAATCTGTATGTAAGTTTGAAAACAATGCAGCATCTGACAGTTTACAGATTGTTAGGCAGATTTTTCAAAAAGACACCAGGATCTGAGGAGCGTTTCAAAGGATGAGAAAATATTTTGTGTTGTTCTCTTGGTATGCAAAAGATCCAAGTGAAACTAGGTCATACACATAATAACCTAGTTGTGTGCTAATCTGTGTAATTTATAGGGCACAAGTGTGTCATATTTATATGTATCTGTATTATGTATGCAGTTGAATAACATATTATCTCTTTATTCTGGAATATATAAACTGCTCTTCATCTAGTCATCTACACCCTCCAGATATGTTGGGACTTCAAGAATTATACACCAGCACAGGCATGCTAATTTTCCATCTACTCTGTTTTAAATTCAAAATGCCCTGTTTTGAGTTCCAAATATTTCCTTTGCGTACAAAACAAGCTGTTTTAAAAATTCTGGAAGCATTTCCAACTCAAAACAAAGTGCTTTAAACTCTGCTTAAAGCTATGTTGAGTTCAAACATTTCAAAACTCATTTCAGTGGTGGTTTCAAATGCAAATCAAAAATTACAACCTGAAACAATCTTGAATTCAAAATATGTTTGCTCTTGTACTACCAGCCAGCAACAGGATGCTGTGATGAAAATGGTTACATGAGTTTATTCTGCCCATTGAAGATTTTAGCTTCCAAAGGAGCTGGGAACAAGTCCACATAGAAATACTGCAGCAGTCAAGGCCAGCACAAGAGACATGGCCAAATGTCTGATCCTCCAAGGCTGGAATAGATGAGGCATCCAAAGTAGGTAAAAGGCACTCCATACTGTTAATGCCATCTTATCTCCTAGTGACAAACTGAGATTTAGGGTTCAGCTCTGAAACTTAAGGGGAAACAATTCAATGGGGAGCAGATTCCAATTTCTTATACTTAAAAAAGGACCCACTCAGTTCACTGAATTGGCATACATAATGCAGAGCTAAAGTTTACTTGTCACTCAAGAATCCCTTGGAGGTCATAAGTAAAAAATCTCTTCTTCTCTTAGGATATATTGTTTCCCTTCTCTCTCCCTCCCCCCAGGGCAAAATCCTCTAAGCATGTCCTTATTCCATTGTCCAATCTATGGAAACAGGACATTCTTTGGCAAAGGAGACAGTACAGTATGAATCTGTACTGCAAGAAGAATCGCCCGAAAGACTCTAAGCTAAGAAGCAGAGGTGCGTTGAACTGTAGCTCCCACCGTCCCCAGTCTACGGCGCAGAGTCCCCGCTGGCTGGCTGGCTGGCTCTACAGGGGTCGCGTCTGGAGGGCATCAGATTGGGGAAGACTGGAAAGGGCGTCCCAGGCGGTCTGAGAAATGAATGTGGAGAAGGACCCTTGTGCGTAGGAAAGCAGACTCCTTCGGGGGAGGTCTCTAGATCGGGGGCATCCGAGCCACCCTGGCTCCAGCAAAGCAGTATGGCCCGTGGTCCCCGGAGCAGACACGTTCCATCCGGACCCCCTACCCCACCCGCCCCCCTCGCGCGCCACAGCTTTACGCGGCGTTCCTCCTAACTCCCGGCGTGGGCGCCTCGCGCGTGGCCTCGGCTTGCACAGCCACCCCACCGAGGCCGCCGTCCCCGTCCCACAGAAGGAAGGGGGAGCCTTGTGCCATATCCCAGCCGAGCATCGCCTCCACGCTCCCGCCTCCCGCTGGCAAACCCCGCAGTTGGCGCCGTCCTTCAGCCCCCAAGTCCGGCGTGAAAAACCGAATCCTGAGCCAACCCCCAGCAAGAGGCGTGCTGCTCCTTCCGGGTTTTCCGCTGCCAGGCTGAGCCAACAAGCCCGGAATGCTGCATTATTCGGCCCACCCATGCCCTGCGGCTTTCACCTTTGCTAGGGGAGGAGGAGGACGCGAAGCCCTAAGCCAGGACTCTTCCAAGCCGAAGGAAAAGCGACGGGCAGGGAATGCGGCAACAGACCATCAGCTCGGAGTGGATCGGGCGGCCGGTAGGCTGCAGCGCGGAAAGAGTTAAGCGGAGGGAGACATTCCGCCAAGGAGAATTCAGAGCAGGGGGTCTCAGTCTGGGGAGGCGGCCAGCGGCGAACGGGAGAGGTCGGCGCTGCTGCTCCTGCTGCTGCTTCGGAGCGCCGAGTGGGGAGAAAGAGCCGCTCGCGGGCAAAGAGCGAGCGAGCAAGCGAGAAACTTTCCCTGGATCTTTCCTGGGCGCGATCTGGAGGAGAGGATACCCTGCACCTGCCGGGTGGGGGGCAAAAAAAAAGCTGCAGCGATAGCGCGGGCCCGCTCCGAGCAGGGATTCCGCTGGGCTCCTCGCAAAGGAGCGAAGCTGGCCAGACGTCTCCGAGGGGAGCGCTGAACTAAGGAAGCTGGCGACGCTTCGGCCGGAATTGCTCCCTGCTCCTTCCGTATCTTCCTTTCGGAATTGCCAACGGAGCGCCGGTCACCGCAGCGGCTTCGGCTGGGGAGGGGACCGGGAGGGCTTCTCAGTGGCAGAGAACGGCCCAAGCGTCCTCACGCTGCGGAGAGCCCCGAAAGTATCGGAGGGAGGGGCGAGACCCTGTTTCTGAGGGGAAAGGGGGCCGTGAGCCCCCCAGTTTGAGCTTCTGACACTTCTCTGCATCTCTAGCGCGCGCGCAACCCCCAATCCCCCCCCCCGACCCCATACTTCGCCTTCCTCCCTGGTAAAAACGGGATCGAAGACAAAAAATCAGCTCTCCATCCCGGCGGATCGCTTGTTTGTTGCTTGAGAGCCCGATCGCATCCGGAGAGGAGCAGAGGTTGCCACAGGTAGCCAAAGTCAGAAGCGCGACGCGACGCCACACGCGCGGCCGAGAGCGCTCGAGACATTGTGTGTGGCCCCAAAGGGTGCGGGAGTCGGAGCTTGTTGCTGGCCGGCTCCGCTCCTCTGCCCTTCCCCCTCCTCCCCAGGCTTCCCCCGCCGCCGAGGATGAAAGCTTTCCCCTGCGCCCGAGGAAGGCCGGACGAGCAGGCAGCAGCGCAGCAGGCGGGGAGTCGAGCTCTCGGCTGGGCTCTGGCGGGGGAGATCGTGGTGTCGAAGATTGCGCCTGGCAAACCGCGTCAGGCGGCGAAGGGAGAAAGCAGCAACAGCAGCGGAAGAAACGGCAGCTGCGGTTGTTGAAAAGATACATAAGTCAAGGACTGAACTGCGCACGGCCGGGACTTTGGCTGGTCCCAAGGAAAGGGGCGGGGTCCCGCAAACCTGCAACCCCCACGGTTACTTTCAAAGCAATTAGCTGGTGCAAATCGGGATTTCGGAGCATCCTTCCCCGGCTACAGCGAGGGCGGAGCTTGATGTTCAGGATAAGATGTAAAAGGGAGGGATCCTCTTCCTTGTTGAGAAATAAGACTTCTGTTATCCTGCCTGGACTCGAGATCGAGAAGCGCCCGATCCTAAACAACCCAGCCGGGTACTCTTGGAACTTGCAGTTGGACCTGCACATTCTCTCTCGTAAAAGCCTAATGCTGCTACCTACAGCTTTGCTCTGCCAGAAAGGGAATGTGGCTGTGCTCCAGTCACAGCAGAATCTCCTCTGTGCCAGGCAGACACCCCCTTATAGCTGGATTTAGGAAAAGCCTCAACTTTGCAGTGGGGGGCCTCCTCCTTTGGCCCCTGCTGGTGGCCCATCTGGGGAAACCTCTACAAGAATGTTGGCCGGTTGGAGAGAGCTGTCTACCAGGATAAGTGCTATACTTGGCTTCCTCCTTTTCTTCTGGCTCTTGTACTGCCATCTGCCCAAAGAAGGTAAGTTCAGGGCTGTTTCATACAGCACCTGTCGTGATTCCATCTTGTGCATTTGCAGGAATGAGCTTTCCACCTATTTTCCCTCCAAGGCCTGCACAGAGAGCTTTACTTGGAACTGCCCAGGATGAGGCCAGGATCTTATCATGGAGCAAACTCTCTCCCTCTCCCTTGAGTCACACATGGTTTGCCTACCAGAGGATAGCCACCCTTAAAATATAACTAATACATCTATATATTGGGGCCTTTTATATTTAAAAATCAAGAGTGAGACCCGAAGATCATATGTGGCTATAGATTTTATGGATCTGTTCTCTTTCTTGGGGCCAAATATCATCCCATTCCTCTAGTTTTACAAAGGCACTGTGTATATTTAATATCAATAGTACTTGACTCTGGGAAGACAGAAGTCGTATTTAGCTCCCACCCCAGGCAAAATGTCAGGGATATGATATTTTTACCAAGGCCGCGGAAGTAAAGAAGGATAGAAAATAAAATTCAGCTAATACAAATTCAGCTAATACAAACTAGCTACAATATTAACACTTCGGCACTTTGGTAATCATTAAGACCCCACGTTCACCAAATCAAAAGAAAAATACAGATTCTAAGATTAGTCAAAGCAACCTGCCCAACTTCAGAAAACTGCATGGATTTTTTTGGCCAATGACATTCCATTGCATTCAAAGTTAGTTTTAGGGAGTCAAAGAGCAATAGTCTGGTGACATCACCTCCAAGTGATCCCAGACCTTTTGCTGGGCCATTTTATTATTGAAATTTCAAAGGAAAATAAATTGTTTTATTTCCCACCATTTTGGGGATAAAGAGGATGACTGTAGATATGTGGATATTGGGGCTTCCAAGTAAACACTCATGGACTCAGCTTATCTGTGGCCTGGTAGAAGATCTAAGGAACATAGATTTTAGATCTGGAAAGACTTTGAACTTGAAAGAGCAATAAGCAAGGGAGAAGTGAAAATAACTGTTCTAGCTTCAAAAAACTAAAAATAGCTCAATCAGATACACAATCATAAAAAGGGAAACTTTGAAGGAGCACGGAAGGGGAAATCTCTTATGATTGAAGGCCAAGATGCCTAATCTAGACTTGTGGATTTGCATTTTCCCTGAATCAGACTAATTTTCCTGCCACCATTTTTGCACTAAATTCATGGTGCTTTTATTGCTTACAACATTTCAGGCTATCGTATTTACTGTACGTTTATGATACTGTAGAAATATAAAAAGTGGGTTTCTCATCAGGTTTTTTTGAATCCCTTGACATTTAGACAAACTTTACAGTTTGAATCTCTTGATGCTTAGGCTCTCACAGAAATAAAGGTTATCCTCACAGACTTTGCTTGTGCTTGATCAAGTTTCAGTGTCCATGGAAGGGTCCCCCCCCAAAAACAGTGTTGGTTTGTGGATGATGTGGCCAGGACTATATATCTAAGGAATATGTGACCAGTTGAATTTGGGAATCTGCAAATTAGAAATCTTAAAAATTATACCAGGCTTTACTATCATAGCAGACAGACAGACATGAGTAAAAAAAACAAATCTGTGTAGCCAAAATGGCTTTCTCATTGTTTTGGCTTTGAGAGTTGGCAATTTATCTTCCTGACTCCTCCTACTTTCTTTCTGCTTCAAATTTAGCATGCCCTGAACCATGATATTTTATTTAATTATTTATTTTGCCAAGAGACTTCTCTGTGCAGTTGAAAATTGTGATGTAAGTTCCTGTGACACCCCCTCCCCAGGTCCTGCTTTGTGTTAAGCCATGAATCCCACCTCCATTGATATTTCAATTGTAGGATCAAAGCTTGGCTCAAATAATGGAAAATGGATGGGGAAACATCTCTGCCTGATAAGCTGCTGTTAATCAATATCAGCAATTTTTCATGTGATAAACAATGGTCTAAGCTAGTATAAGATAGTTTGTTACATTCCAAGGTAAGGGTCTACTTCTGCTTGCTAGTTTGAAATTGTAAGTTTGAAATCATGATTTTATCAGTATCTCTGTTTGTTACTACAGTGCATATATAACTCCCTCCAAGTCACTGTAGGAGATTTAATATGAGACTCAATATAATACATTTGAATTCTGTTTCACAATAGGGCAGTCCACTCTTTTATGACCTAGCCCTTGGATGCCTTGAGACTACACTTCCCAGAATTCTTAGCCAGCACAATCTGGTTGAAATTCTTGGCCCTTGAAGTCTTAGCCCATCCAGGACAAGCAGATTAGGGAAGGGTGAAATAAACAAAGGGTTTACATTTAAGTTTAAAGTGTATAGTTTAAAATACCCATGTGCACGTATCCCATTAATATGCGGAGAAGGCATTTTTTATTCTCTGACAAAGTCTTCGTCTCTCACTGTTTACTATTTTTTCACAAACATACTGACATACTTCACCCTAACTGAGGTATCCTCCAGTTGCTCTTGAACAGTAAGATTCATCCATTCCAACTACAAATGGCCAAAATTGGAGGTCACTGAGTTGGAGAAAGCCAGTATAAAGCATTCAGTCCTCTGGTCTATCCTTTGTCTAGTGACTGGATGCAGAGAATTTCTAGCATATGACGTTATGGGGAAAGGAGCAGATAATCAGAAAAAATTAGAAATATGATAGTAACCAGCTTTTCTAATTTTTATTTCTTATATGTATGTATGAGGGGGGCAGAGAGAAGGGGGAAAAACCCTATTGGCCAACAAGTACAAGCCCTGTTAAGCAACTGATTTGTTCCTGGGCTTCCCTCTTTCTTTCTCTCAGCTCTACACTGTGTAACAGTCCTGCCAGCCCCAGCAACTGCAGAAGAAATCTTGAGCTGTTGTTTACTTCCCCAGAAACCTATAAAGATCGCTGTCAGCATAAATGTCCCATTGAGAGCCCAGAAAAGGGGGCCTCTTGCAAACAATGATGCGGGAGATTTGCAAATCCATGTTGATCCATCAATTATATCACAGTTTAACAACTGTAGCTAAATATTTATGTAATGATTCAAAGGATGAGAACTTGTCCAATCAAACCATAGTTATGAGTTCAAAGCTAGCCTCAGGCATGCAAGATTCAAGGCGGTGCCAACTTGCTTGCCATCTTGCCAGAACCCCTAAATCACTTATATGTATAGCTTCCTTCACTGGGCAATCTGCAAAGCAGCCAAGGTGCAAATTACTTGCACTTCATTGTTATAATATTATGGCAGGGAAAAGTCAATGCTATACTAAAGCTTGTTCAATAACAATATAGCCCCACCATTCTACAAAGCCCAAACATTTTAAATCTGTGACATTTACTGTCTCATAGATGTATAGATAATGAATATGTAGATATATTAATGCTGGTTGCTAAGAAAAGCCTAACAATTTGAGCATAGTAGGTATGATGCTTTTTTTAAACTTAGTAATATCCTTTTTTAAAAATCCAATAGAGATGAAATTTTAACAACAGACAGCCTTGTGGCATTCTAAAGAGCACAACATATTTATTATAATACTGCAGCACCCTAATGAGTAACTTCGTTATGGTTTGGCCTCTAGGTTTGCTTAATTAAAAGCTAATTTAGCCATTAAGATTCCACAGAAATTCTCTACCTTGCTTCCAATTGTTTCTCCTCTCCTGCAGGAGTTCTGATCAGTTTTCTCTTAAACTATAACATTTTGTCCAATTAAATATAGAACCTTTTTGTATCTCACTTGTACTATAACCACCTCACCCTTCATTTTTATCGATTTGAGTAAGTTCAGATTTTGAAATCTGGCAGATTTTTAAATAAAACCTTTACATCTGTGTTAATTGTACTAAGAAATGTAGCTTGACTTCAGATTCAGATTTTAGTAAAATGTGAAATGTACATAAATTTGTACTATGCAAAAAAAAAAAAGGCTGGTACTTTTGTTCTATATAACAACCTATGTAGATATCTCATGTTAATGTAATATAATCATGTATTAATTAAGCCTTCAATATTAAGCAAAAAGTAGAAATTATAACATGGAGGAGAAATATTTGAATTAAATCTGAAATATATACAGGTCCCAAACTGTATTTGACTGTCTGCTTTTGTCAAAATATTTAAAAGGTATTATGATTGTTCCAGAGCTAATAAGATGAGAATTTGCCATGTTAATACAAAATTCAGCAGGTGAAAGTATTGGAAGCTGTTGTTTACCTTGATAATTTGAAAAACGGAGAGAGTGGCATGGTAGAGGAAGATCTAGATCACTTACCAAAAGAAACAAATCCTAGCAGAGAGCAGAAAAATGATAGAATTCAAAAAATATTATTTGCCAGAAAACATCCCTCCCTTCTTTAGCCTTTGCAAAGTGGAGCACTGTTGTTACTCCTTTATTAGATTTGTGGGGCGTTCTGAGACCAAAACAGCTAACTACTTTTGGGAACACACTTTATGACTCTGCAGGTATGAGACATGAACTGCAGACATGCAAAATTTTAATGTCTGTTCTAAATGAGAAGCAAATTATCCTTGGAATTATACAAGTTGGGCTCACATGAAGTGTCTGGTCTGTTCCAATGCTCTGGCTTGATTAGATCAGATGCAGCAGAGGAAACACTTCAGTTTTGTAGGGTATGCTTTATCTTTTTACTAGTATCTTGGGGCATAGACCAACCAGAGCCAGGAGCATAATATTGGCAAGGCCAAGCAAATTGCGAAATGAACGTTCAGCAGGCAGGCAGAGCCTGATATCTTCTGGGCTCTGTGAGCCACACATTGGGATGATCTTTATATACAAGTCAGCATCTGAAAGGCTAAAATTATGAATGCTTGTAACTTAATTTAGGGGTGACAGGTTTGGATATATGTGTGTGCCTTCAAGTCAGTATTGACTCCTGGTGACTACGTGGAAAAGTTATTGCCATTTTCTTGCCAAGCTTTTGGAAATTGATTGCTATTGCCTCCTACCTGGGGTTGAGAAAAAGTGACTGGCTCAAAGTCACCCAGTTGGCTTTGCGCCTAAAGTGTGAGTAGAACTCCCAATCTCTAGCCCAGTGTCTTAACCACTACACCAAACTGGCTCTGTTTGGGTTTCTATTGATTAAATCATTGCAAATCAAAAACATTATTGCAAATTATCCATTGATTTGATTTTACTTAAACTTCTGCCCATCTCATATTTGCAAGAACTGTTAATCTTTTAAGTCTGCCTGTTCCAATCAGAAGTAGTACTTGCAACGACATTGAGCTATAGCTCCCATCATTTTTTTAAAAGGTATAAGGATGGTAAACGTTGTAGATCAACACTTCTAAAGGATATGAGGTGGTGGAAGATCTTTCTAAATGGGTTTGCTTGGTGTGGTTTGGGACTACTGTATCTTGGCTGCAAATATCCAGTTGATGGTAGGAAAGTGTTACAGCTCAATGTATCTCTTTGCTGCCTTCTAGACGTCATGTCATCCTGATTGTTACAGCCCAAATCTGGTGGTCACTGGTTAAAAATTGCACATGAATGCAGTTATTCCTTAATGAACTGTACTTCGTTCATTCCTTAGATAGTCTATTAAGGTAATGGAAGCATTTACGTTTTTTAATTAATATTTTTCACATTTTTCCATTTGTTCTCAGTTCTTCATCCTGTGTTCATTTTGATTTGTCCTCATCCCACTCTGCTTTCTGAATTGCTTCAAAGGGTACATATCTTCTACAATATCTACTTAGAGGCAAGGAGTACCGGTAGGTAGAAAGGTGTAATCACAAAGGCATTTTTCTTCAGGTACTGTTACATGGCCTTTAGTGAAGTAGAATGAAGTAGTGTTCCTTGAAGTGTCTGCATAAGCATTGTAGAAAATGGCATTAAGGGGGGGGGGGAGAAACAACTCAACTGAATGTTTGTACACAGCCCAGAAATAAACTGCTGGCTAGATTTCTTTTAAAAAATAAATAAAATAAAAACATTGAGAAAAGTAGTTCATACTTTTTCTCCAGTATTTTTAAGAATATTGTAAACAGAGGCCACAGTTTTGGGTGTTGACTGGCTATGGTTCCTTAAGGCTTTGGGACAGCAGTGTTTTCTCAATCTAGCCTGGAGAGACCAAAAATTGAAGATAGAGTGCCTATCTGCACATTTCCACCACTGAATTAGAATGTTTGCAGTTTTCTCCCAACTTTGGTTTCAACACTATTCTTGTTGAAGAAACTAGCCCACTGAATATGTTTTCTTGCTAAGCGTTTGCAGAGTACCGTATTTTTCAGAGTATAAGATGCACCAAGATTTTGAAGAGGCAAATTTAAAAAAAGAGTTTTTGCATTCTGCAGACCTCCAAAAACAGCCAATTTTTCACAAAAATGTGATTTCTGCCAAAAAGGGCATGCATAACCTTTAGGAGGCTTGCAGAGTGTTCCTGGGAGCGGGGGGGGGGCAAAAACGAGCAAAAACCGGCCCATTTTTCACTCATTTTTGCCCTCCCCAGCTCCCAGGAGCACTTTGGAAGCCTCCTAAATGCTATGCATGGCTATTTTTGCAAATGGGATGTGGTTTCAGGAGGCAAAAAATGCTGTATTCAGTGGATAAGATGCACCGAGATTTTCACCCTCTTTTTTGGGGGGGGAAAGGTGAGTCTTATACTGTGAAAAATATGGTAGCTCTTTCCAATCTATTGGACTATACAAATATATCTCAGGCCCTTAGAACATGGGCAGATTATGAAGTTAGGGGCTTATTTTTCTTTTGTTGAATGATATTTGATCCATAAATTGGACATTTTATAGCATTCTTTACAAAGCTGTCATAGTGAACAACTGCTATGTATTGATACAATTTTTTTCAGCATTCCTGTCCCATCTAAACCATCTGGAAGAACCATCTTGTATTTCCTACTAGTAGGGTTCTTGTTGTAAAGCTCATTAAAGATCTGATAGTCATAAGTTAAATCATAATTTGGAAACTTGAAGTTGGCAAGCTGTACAGAGGTCAAAGTGGCTCTTGAAATCGCTGTAAAGCCCCAGGAAGCAGCCCCACCTGTTTTTGCCCATAATCCATCTGAACTGTTATCTGGAAGAAAGAGAATATGATGAAGAGCAGAATTAGAACTTCTCCAGTCAGCATTGCATGGAGAATGGCCTTTGCCTGTTGCGCACAGCATGGGAAAGAAATTACACAAGAGAGAAAATGCATGAGGATGGTGAGGGTGAAGTTCTTAGCCCCACATGCTGTTATCGTCCCAAACGGAACATTTCTGTACCTGTATAGCCACAAACACATTGTTTTGCCCTTAGAAGATTCCTCTTACCTGACTTAAGTTAGAACAATTAATCAGTGGAATAACTTGTCTCCAGAAGTTGTAAATGCTTAAACACTGGAAGTTTTTAAAGAAGGGATTGGATATCGATTTGTCTGAAATGCTATAGGATTTCCTGCCTAAGCAGGGGGGTTGGACTAGAAGACCTCCAAGGTCCCTTCCAACTCTGTTATTCTATTCTATTCTAAATGGCTATGAGTCTGACTTCAGATACAAATCCAGAAAGATATAGAGAAAACTTTATATGCCTGTCACCATATTCAAATTGCCTGTAAGTTAGTAGATAGCACCCAAATCCGATTCACCCTTCACATAGAGCCCTTTAAAACCAAGTTTTTGAAGTGTTCTATCAGAAGTGCACTAGGGTCTGATGGGCTAAAGTCACTGAGCACAGGCTCCACTGCACACTTACACGCAAGTTGAGGTGCAGCACATATCCATCCCCTTGTTCCCTTCACAAGGCTGATTACAGGAATTCTCTCACAAGAATAACCCAGGCATGCAGTTCAACAGGCTGATGCTGGAGGTTATGGACCCTTGTTCCATGGGAAAGGCCAATAGATGATGAATATATTCCTTTATGACATCAGTAGCACAGAACAGTTGGAGAGGATCAGGACCTAAGTCACCAGATGCAGCAAAAATAATACAAGAACAGGAAGTAAGGTAAATCACATCCAGCAAATGTAGTTCTAATAGAAATGTCTTAGCCTCTCTGATCTACTTATTCTGATAACAAATAACTCGCTCCAGGAGAGTGAGCAAGCCAGAGATTGAATGTGCATATTACAATTCAAAAAAATATATGGAAAGGCTGTCGTATATGCCTATATAAATCGAAGGGATCTCTTATGTTTCCTTTATTTAAAAAATGCCATTGAAGAAGAAGAAGAAGAACTGAAGAAATGAGAAACTGTTGCTACTCACCTAAATAGGGGAAGCAAGGAAGCAGATAAGGAGTCGAACATATTTAAAAGGGTAGGGCATAAATACAGTATGCGTCAGTGGTGGGATTCCAAATCTTTTCCTACTGGTTCTATGAGAGAATGCTTTGCAAACATGCACAGCACTCAAAAGAGTGCCCTCGGGTGTCAGCGCTGGTGAGCTGACCTGTGTTTTAGCTCAGCTGAGGCATGGCAATCCGCTCTGCCGCGTGAATCAGCTGAGCTACAAAACAAGGGAATATCGGATAGGGAACGACGGGGGCGGGAGGGCGGGGCCAACCAGAGATGGTATTTGCCAGTTCTCCAAACTACTCAAAATTTCCGCTACCGGTTCACCCGAACTAGTCCAAACTGGCTGAATACCACCTCTGGTATGCATGTATTTCAAATATTTTATATTTAGAGCATGCCAAAACATGGCAGGAATTCAGACAGATCACCAAAAATGTTATAGTCCAGAATACATGATTAGTCAAATTGGGTAACCGTTGCAGGAAGGAGAACTCAGTGTTCATGCCTAAACAGCAGTTAATAGCAGGCCGTTAGCAAGAATGCTTATAGTTGTTGAACAAATCCATGTGATTTTTTTTTAATCAAGAAGGCAGGTCTAGGGAGTCAATAATTTAAGAAGCAATATCTGACCAACCTGTTATACAAAGAAGAAATCAATATGGAAAAATATGAATATTAACACAAGAAGGCTTTGCCATTGTCCAGTTCCATCATGGACTTCCTTGGGTGGAGAAAGGAAAGGAAGATACATGGTCACTATGGCTGAGAGTGGTTCTCTAACTGAAGATCTAGTCTGTTTCTCATATCACACTAAATTGCAATTTTTTTGTTTGCTTTTTGTATAATTAATGGTGTGATCCCACTATTATGATTTGCAAAACATAGCTTATGATTTACCAATTGTGTGAATACAATTTTTTTGGTTATTTGACAAGCTATGGTTAAGCAAACTTTAAGTTGAACTTATGAATGCTGAATCAGAATGTGAGTTGTGCAATGATGGTAAGCTAATATTTCTTTAAAATTCAATATTTGGCTCTAAGACAACAGGTGAAAAATGCTTCAGTATTTTCTGTCATATCCAAAGATGATATTATAGCTATATAGATATTAAACTAAGATTGAAATGCTTAAATTCTTATATGGCAACTATCACCTAGACTTTTTTTTAATAAGGATAAAATTGGAAGAGGAAGTATCTATGTTGCTTTGACCTTGTAAAGGAAGACCAAAGACACGAGCTATATAAATAAATAAAGCTTGCAGCAGGAATCATAACACTGTAGTGCAGATTAATGGCTTTGGAATTTCCTCTTGTTTGGCTAGGTTGGAGAGTTTATTAGGTTACCCAACAATCCAAACTTGAATGGGCTCATGGTTTTCAGTGTGGGAGCATACAAAAAACAACAACAACCCAGCTTTAGAAATAATCACATCCTCCCAGCCAATAAAAGAAATACAGCACAGCAACCAATTTCGTTGTATTTAAGTACAATGACAATAAAGATTATACTTCTATTGCAAGAGTTATCCATAGGCATATCTGGATATCAATGTCTTACATGAGAAGGGGCTTTATTTGTACACCTGTGTATGGTCTGTGAATTTGTATGAATGTCTACAATGTCAAGGGACGTGGTGGCTCAGTGGCTAAGGCGCTGAGCTTGTCAATCAGAAAGGTCGACAGTTCGGAGGTACGAATCCCTAGCTCCAGAGTGAGCTTCTGTTATTTGTCCCAGGTTCTGCCAACTATCAGTTCGAAAGCACGTAAAAATGCAAGTAGAAAAATAGGAACCAGTTTTGTTGGGAAGGTAACAGCATTCCATGCACCTTTGGTGTTTTGTCATGACGGCCGTATGACCATGGAGACGTCTTTGGGCAGTGCTGGCTCTTCGGCTTTGGAACGGAGATGAGCATCGCCCCATAGAGTTGAGAACGACTAGCACATATATGCAAGGGGAACCTTTACCTTTACACAATGTTATCCTTTAGCAGAAGTTACCAAGAAGATGTTGATACAGTTTTGCATAGTCAATTAGTGTACTTGCTCAGCATGTCTGCAAAACTGATGGTTTTGGGATTTCTATCTGTTAGATTAGAAAACTATTTGCTTCTACTCAATTGAATTGATTGCCTGCCATCTTTTCCTGGGGCACCTGTATAAATTAGAGCTGTTGCCACCACAGGAACTATCTTTAGCTTAGGACCCAGGGTCCAAGCTCCTGATTTCCCTTTCTGGTAAATAGGCTGGATTATTTTCCTGCTTTATTTGTGTCTGTGTAAAAGGATTATTAAATCTGTCTTCTATCCCAACAGGAAAGGAGCTGGTGGTGGGGACATGTGAGATCACAGCCCTGGATAGAGATATAAGCCATCCCAAAAGGATGATTGCCCGACAAACAGCACGGTGTGCCTGTCGAAGAGGACAAGTTGCTGGAACAACTAAAGCAAAACCTGCCTGTGTAGATGGTAAGAAAGCAAGGCTGCCTTCACTCTTGTTTGATTGGACCAAAGATCCATCAGTCTGGCCCACGAGGACCAGCAGTTTCATGCAAATGGCTGAGAAACATTGCAGGGACCCATGGAGGTCTCTGAGAGCACCTTAAGGGCATCAGTGATGGCTTTTCCATTCTGGAGGCTGCATTGTGAGCTAAAGCTAGGCGCGTTCCCAGAAATTAAAAGTTTAGAAAATTATTGAGTTTTGTTAGTGTAACGCAAGGGGGAAAAAAACAAAAATAAAACAAACTGGGTGGGTGGGTTGTTTTGTCACCACTAATCAACACAAGGGATGAGGCATTTGTCTTCTTTGACCTTTTGAAGGAGTTGCTACCCTGCCTTTGGATTCGATCAAGGCACTTACTAAAATGGGCACATTAAAACTCCTCCTTTGCTAGTGTTTGGATATGTTTGGAACTAAACGATTGCCCTTAATCATTTATAACACTGTTACTATTTGTCCAACAATAGACAAATTGGTCTTGGCAAGGATAGATTTCCTTTCCAAGGTGGCGCAGTGGTTAAAAGCAGCACTGCAGGCTACTGCTAGATCAGCAGGTCAGCGGTTCAAATCTCACCGGCTCAGGGTTGACTCAGCCTTCCATCCTTCCGAGGTGGGTAAAATGAGGACCCAGATTGTTGGGGGCAATATGCTGACTCTCTGTAAACCGCTTAGAGAGGCCTGAAAGGCCTATGAAGCGGTATATAAGTCTACTGCTATTGCTATTGCTATTGTTTGTGTTATTAGATCATTCTATTAAAAAAAAAGAAGTCGGGCAGTGTTTAATTTTAACAGCAAACTCCCAGAATAAGTGCATGCAAAAAAGTACAATTTTTTTTCCTGGAATTACATTACAATTCAAGAAAATCGACTGGCATGTAACACTGTTCATTCATGAGATTTTTCACCTGATGCAGAGCTACTTTACATTCTTGTTGCAAGACCTCTCTCTCCCACCGAGGAGATACATCAGAACTTCTTTTTGATCAGTCCATTGCTGTAGATAGTTCACTGATGCCTGTTTAGAGGTTGGTGTTCAGCTGAACGGGGACTCCTTTGAGTTTTGAAACATTACCAATGTGTTCAGAATAGGGCCTCCAGCCTCATGATATCTGGGGTCGGTGGGCATGGGGAAATCTCTGTGAGCAAGAATTAGGGTTTCCGGGTGTGGTGGACAGCAATGTATTTGCAAGCACACCCAAAAAGGTTTTCCCATGCAGATCTCTCTGTTTTATCTATGAAAACCTTCAGCAGGTCAACCTCCCCTGGGTGAGGTCAAAGGAGGCAGCTCTTATTTGTAGTTCTCACACAGTTCTCCCTATTTCTGGATGCCCAAACAAGACTGAAATATGTGTGGATGTGAATGTGGATATGTGAGAGAGGATAGATTCTGTGCTATGATTATGACCATAATAGCTGAACGGAGCAGCTGGATTGTGATTTCCAGTAGCTTTACCATGAGTGAAAGGGCTCCTGTTTCTGATAGAAATGCAATCTTGTTTTGATCCCCTTTGCTCTGAAGTCCTGTCCGTTTCCCCTCTTTACTAATCTGGGGAATTCTCAGGGAGGAATATTTTTCAGACGGCTGTCGAGCACTTTCTCTTTCCTTCCTTCCTGGACAAGCAGAACTCTGCTTCTTCTGAATCAATGTGTTGTGGAGCATTAAAGAAATGCATGTGAATGCAGAAGACCCAGCCACTGCCTAAATCAAAAGTCAACAACCTGAGCTGCAAAAGCCGCATGTGGCTCTTGACTTACTATGGAGTCCCTTGCAGCTTAATTTCCAAAACCTTTGGCAACCCTGATTTTGGACCAAAAACATCTACTTTGCCCTCTTTCACGCATCAGAGATAAAAGAAGCAGTGAAAGAATTAGCCAATGTCACTTAAGTCTGCTTGCTTTGGCTTTTTCAGCTCTTGGCACACAGCCCCTCTCTTTAACTTTTGATTCCTGGAGGATGTAGCCCTGGAGAGATCAAAAGTTGCTCACTACTGGTGGGTAGCCAGTGTTACTGACTTGAATGTGTGATGGCAAAAAGCTCTTTTCCAGGCCCTGCAGGATGCTTTCCTGAAGTTTTGGAATGCAGGCATCTGTTATCTTGTGTTGCTACGTGCTGTGGTTGTGCAACAGTAACATGCTCCCTAGTGTTGCTATGTGGGGAGGGGGGGAGGAAATATACAGGGCCTGTGAGTGGGTGAAGATGTATGGTGAACGTGAGGCTATTCTGAGCCCACAGGTGGTGGTTATCTCATATTTGAAGGAGTTGCAGCAGAAAGCACCATAGATGTAATCCTTCCTCTGCAGCTCTGTATTTAACCCCTTACGGTGCTTTCCCCCCCATTTCACAGCTTCTGCTTTTTCTCAGTATGATTGGCCTCTATTTTGAAACATTTTTCTCAATGGCAAAAAAATAAAAATAAAAATAAATCCACAGCAGAATTCACAAATCCATTCTGTACTGGAGAGTTGGTGCTCAGAGCCTTGCAGTCTTAACTCTGTTCATTCTAGCTCTATCCTAGGAGGTCCCTTCCCATAAGTGGAACGGAGATGGTGGGGTAGCTTACTGCAGGGACAAGAGATCTCATTTGGAAGGATGAGAACTTTTCCCAAATTTTGATGTCATCCAAATGTTTTCAGACTACAATTCCTAGACATCTCAGCTTGGCTTAACTGGAAGTTTGCACTGTAAAATGAATGACAAGGTTTTTTAAGTCTCATGTTTTAACGATAACTCTTTTAAATGTGTGCCTAATTTTCTTTCCTCTCTTTTCTTTCCCTTCCTCCCCTTCAATGCTTCCTTCTTCTTTGACTTCCCTGCTGGTGTCCGGCAGCCCAGATCATTGTTAATAAACAGTGGTGTGGAATGGAGCCCTGTGATGAAGGGGAGCAATGCACTTTATTAATCAATCGTTCTGGCTGGAGTTGTACTAGGCAACTGGGACGAATAAAAACAGTCACAGTAAGTAACCTGCCCTGACTTCTTTCATCCCAGCCAGCAAATAGCTAAAGAAAGGCAGAAAATTGTGTATTGCAGGTAGATGGAAATATGTTGGGTGTACCTTAGAGTGAAGAAACAAACTTGCTTAGGGATTGTATTAGACTACGGCTCCCAGATATGTGCTATAAAATTTGGGGCAAGTACCAGATGACAACAAAGAGTAAGAGGTTATCCAGGCCTATGACAGGTGGAAGGTCCCATTTGTAGTAATACTAGCAGTGGACAAATATCAGAAGAATACATTTCTGGAAGTGCATTGGCACAGAAGTTGAAATCATGCCAAGGCAGCAGGCTAGAAACCAGGAGACAGTGAGTTTTAGTCCCACTTTAGACCTGAAAGCTGTTCTGACCTAGGCTTCCCCAAAAAGCATGAGACAGAGTCCTGGTCCTGACAAAACCCCTTTTATTAAACAAATGTGAATTCCTCTCATTCACATTCAGCAAAGGCCTGGCAAACAGTCTTTCAAAGGTGTATTTATGACCACAGACATTATCTAGCTTGGATATCTGCCATTAAAATATTTTTTAAACACAGTGCTGTGCAAGGAAAGACTTGGCACAGAGTCTCTGAGATTCATGGACAGATCTTCACACTCCTGAAACAAATGAATGAACAAACAAATTTTTTCCTGCAAAACCCCCTCCCCTTTTTCTCCAGTTTTATTTCCTATGGGAGGGGCCATTCACCATCCACCTGTGGCTTTATTTTCAAGTCGACCCTGATTTCTGAGCTGTTCTTTTCTTCTGGCAGCTCTGTGCATGCACACACTGGGAACAGGCTCCAGTTGTTCCTCTGCTTCCCTGCTATCTAGCTCTGAAGGCAGCAGACCTGCCAGATAGCCTTCGCCCCATCTCTGCCTCTGACGCAGAGCCCTTGCCACACCTTCCCCAGCCTTCAGAACTGGCCTGTGTTCCTCCCCAACCTCCTCACTGTCCGACTCTGCTGCCACTGGTGCCACAACAAAAGCTGCCTGGGTGACTTTGGGCAGTCAATCTGTCTCAACCCACCTTACAGTATTGCTATTGTGGAGAAAATAGAGGAGGAAGGGATACAGTCTGTTCAATACCTTGAGTTACTTATCAATTAAAAAGGTAGGATAAAAACATCAAATAAATAAATTCATGAAAGAATCTGCATGTGTACTACTAGGAACTGGATCTGTATTATGTGCAGATCTCAAAAAAAAACCTAAGGCAAATCTCAGAAAGTCTGGCGGGAAGACAGAGATGACTCTTTAGCCCCTTTTATGTAGAACGAGGGGGAGAGGGGAGGTCAAGCTTTCCCAGATGTTCCCTGGCCTAGAAATGAATGATCCACTTCTCTGGGAGGGGAACACCTATCTCAACTTGGAATTATTCCTTAGCATAGTTTGATGGCACATTGTGAATAAGAAGAGGTTCCATTTTCCCAGTTGTTTAACAATTAAATACAGTCCTTCTCCTGTTGAAGCCATTGAAAAAAAAAAGCTTGGTGGGAATCCAGAAATGGATTATTGTGTAAATAGTTGCCCAATTGGCTGTTAGTGATCACAAAATGCTATTCTCAGAGGTCCCTTTTTTCTAAATTCTCTATGCAGATTTTTTAAAAATTTTGCGTCACTATTTGCTCCTATTCCTGATTAGTGCAGCTAGAAATAAAAGCTTGTTGCTGGCTTTGGTTGATCTTCAAAAAGCTAAGCAAAGCAGGAAATAGGGAATCAAAGGCTAGTACTGTTGCCAAGAAAACAACTTGGACATGCCCAAATAGATACCAAGGAGGGTGTTTGTTTTTTTTTAGCATGAAGGAGTTTTTTCTTCTATAAGCTATAAGCAAAGGGGATCAGAATTGCTCTCACTGAGCAACAGGATTGTAAAATGTGATGCCACATGACTGAGCCACTTAGCACTGGAAATTCCATAAGTCCTGGTTGCCGTCATTAAGTGAAACACTGATGGTCCCTAAATGAAGTTGTCACATGGTCACCATTTTTAGCCTCTTGCCAGCTTCCCCGTTGATTTTGCTTGTTGGAAACTGGCAAAGAAAGTCACAAATGGCAACTACAAGACCACGAGACACTGCAACATCAGCATTGGGAATTGGGTGCTAAGCCCCCGGGCCATAATCGCATGGCCCAGGGGTGGGTTCCTGCCAGTTCTAACCTCTTCTATAGAAGAGGTTCCACAAATCTACAGTGCCATTTAGAACCGGTTCCAGCTCCCTCCCCCCATCTGTTGCACATCATCAAGATGAAAAGCGAGAGGAGGAATTCTGGGAGTTGAAGTCCACAAGTCTTAAAGCTTTCAAGTTTGAACACCTCTGGGTTTTTTTCCCTAAAGGGTTAGGGGTGCAAAGGTCTTGTAATTTAACAGCTTTAAGACTTGCATGCTTCAAATGCCAGAGTTTCTGAGCCAACATTTTGGTTGCTAAGCAAGAGCGTTGTTAAGTGCGTTTCACCACATTTTACAAGTTGACCACGCCCACCCAGTCGCATGGCTGGCAAGCCATTCCCACCCAGTCACATGGCCAGCAAGCTACGCCCACAAAGCAGGCCACACCTACAGAAGAGGTTGTAAAAAAATTTGAAACCCACCACTGGCATGGCCACAGGAATACTGCAACAGCTGGAACCCCAAAGACTACTCGTAACTACCATTTGTCCAACATCTTGGCAAGTCTGAACTGTGGCTAAATTAAATGAGTAGTCATTAAGCAAGGACCACCTGCATTTTAGATGCCCTAGGACAGATATCGGCATGCCCTGGTATTGAGCAGTGCAAGTGCAGATTCCACAGTCCAAAAGCAAAATATCAGCAACTGATTCTGTTTGGGCATCTCTCCCTCTCTTTCTCTCTTTTTTTCTTTTCAGTTCGGTTTTTTAAATTCATATAATTCACAGGAGAATGCCGGAAAGAATGCAAATGGAATAAGCTTGGATGGAAATATGACTGAATATTATCAGGCTGCATTCAGCATGCAGAACATTTGGGAGGGGTTGCTTCCTGTCCCCTCAGAGTTGGGGAGGGGAAGAGGCATGCCACAAAGCAAGGCAAGGCTGACACGAAATTTCAACAGGTATTTTCTACAGTTTATCTGGGCATGCCCCAGCTGCCTGAGGGGAATTAGCCTTGCTAATAGAGTGTTCTGACCTAGGGGTCACCAAATCATGAAACAGACTCCTTGTCCCGAAAAAACTCCTTTTTATTTGGCTAATGTGAATTCATCTCATTCACATCCAGCAAAGTCCCAGCAAACAGTATTTCAAGGGTGAATTTACAACCACAGACATTATCAGGCTTGGAGCTGCCAGGCTGATATCTTCCAAACGCAACGCTGTACAAAACAATACCTGGCAAGGAATCTCTCAGAGTCACGAACAAAGCTTCACACTAATTAAAAGAACAAATTGTCTCCTGCAAACTCCACTTACCTTTTATTCCCTATGGGAGTGGCCATTCACTATCCACCTGTGCCTTTACTCCCGAGTTGGCCCTTGTTCCTTAATTGTTCCTTTCTCCTGGCAGCTCTGCGAATGCGCACCTCGGGAACAGACTCCAACTGTTCTTCTGCCCCACAGAGATCTGACTCCGAAGGCAGCTGATAACTGTTGGACAGCCCTGGCCCCATCTCTGCCTCTGACGCAGAGCACTCATCAGAGCCTTCCCCAGACTCCAGGACTGGCCCATGTTCCTCGCCAACCTCCTCATTGTCTGAGTCTGCCAGCAGCTCCGCTGGCTGCTGGCGGGCCACAACATAGAATTTGTACATGAACCAAAGCAGGACTTTGCTAGCTATTATTCTCACTCCCATGTAGGGACCTACATTTTGTGGAGTTCACTGTAATCGCATCAGAGACTGCGCCCTCCAAGGCCCTCCTAAAAGGGGCTGTTGCTGAGACAGGTAGAACGGGATTTGGATGACTCTTAAGCAGAGCTCTCTGGTGCGGAGGGAATGAGAAAGCTCGCCCATTCTGGCACTGGGCCTCTCTTTGCAACATGAGAGGAAAACAGTGCAATTAAATGTCCTGGATTGTTGCCTTGGGCCTCTGCTAAGCAGCACTGAGAGTGCTGCAGCCCAGTGTTGGCATAAATAAGGATGCCTTATTACTGACTCCAGTCACCTTCAGTTGTGATGGCTTTATCTGGAGCAAATACCAGCATTTATTTGAAGTCCTAAGGAAAATGTCTTCCTCACAGTCTGGCACTGTTGTATCCATGTTTGCAAATGTTTTAAAGCACTTCCCTCTACACTGTGCTGTTACTCTTTCCTGCCAAGCTCTTCTCAAGGCATTTTACCATCCCATTTGTTTGGCCTGAAATAGAGTGACTCATCAGGAAGCTGACCATCAGCCCCGAGATAAAAAGCCAAATGGTTGCTTGAGTTGCTGGTGAAAGGGAGGATGGGGACACAGATGGGGACAAACAGAGTGTAGGAAGAGGAGAGAGGGAGAGAAGAAGCAACTGAAAGAGAAAGGAAGGAAGGAAGCCAAAGGTGGAAAGAAGGGAGGGGAATGAATGGATAGTCCAATAAGAAAAAGTCACAATTAGACTGTTCCATAGAAATGAATCAATTATCTGTGGGAAGCTTACTGAAGAAGGACTACAGCAATCGCCCACCCCCATACAGTGGTTCCCTAACAACTGAGTTTGTGGATATGTCTTTATCTCCATGCACTTTTAGATTCAGCCACCCTGTCTGATCTTACAGATGGTGGGGAGGCTTTCCATTCCTAAAACGAAAATTGTCTATCTGCCTCAAATTCACAGCTTTTAAAAACAGGCTGATTCTACATGGGAAATTTCTTAGGAGGTGCATCTTGTATTTTCCGCAGCAGGTGTAAGTATCTGGTCAACCTTTTGTAAGATTAGAAGTGAAACAGGGTCAAGCTTGGTTAATAAGTGGATAGGGTACTCCCGAGAAATACATGGTCCATGCAATAGCCTGGGAATATGAAAAGTACTCCAGAAGAAGGCAAGCGATTGAC